TAGCATCATGCCATAAGACATTGAATACTCCTAATATTTATATTTTGAAGACATGAAATTCCAGTTATTTGCATGCGTTATCTCAGGTAACTTCAATGATTGAAGCTGTTGGCATCATGTGAGGGATACGTCACTGAATTAGTATTCCTATAAATTTATTTAAAACCACGTGTTTACTTTGTTAATTTTTATACTTTTAAAACGTGTTTCGAAAAACTAAATAATTTAAAATTAACGGGAATTGAAATAAAAAAGCAAAATTAATGATTAAAAGGTGTTAATTTGTTTAAGGAAACTGTTAAAATCGTCATACCAAATGATTCTTAATTAATTTTGATAAGAGGTACTATAGGTATTATAGTAATTGGTACAGTTTTATTAAATAGCAAATACACTAATATCGGTACCTAGATACTTATTATATGTATTTTAGAACGAAGATTTTTACAACCCCAAAATGGATCATTTCCGGAGAAAATTGCTTGATTGTTATATGATTTGACAGTCAAGAGTTTGCTGCAAGCAAGAATATCATGTCATATGATATAGAATACTCTTAAATACTCTTAATCTTTATTTATGACGAAACGAACGAAACTTCTAAAAATGTGTTTTGTTTAATCTAATAATGTAAAGTCATCGGAAAAGGGAACACATATCAATACATTTAAATTTGAATTGTTTTAGCTTTATTATTTTTGTAGATATTCGTCTTTCAGTTTTTTGCATGATTTCGTAGTGTCGAATAATACCGATTAGCTGATTATTTACTTTTTTCCCGTCGTACGAAGAACGGGTATTCAGATATATAAAGAATCTATCATATAAGAATATATCACAAATAAAAAGAAAACTTCTAAGAAAAATATAATATTTTTGATGAAATAAAAATTTACATATACCTCCTGTCTTAAATCAGGCACATGAATCGATGCTAACTGATTTATGAAACCTAACTGATTATGAATCATAAGCTTTCTTTTTTCTTCTTCTTTTTTGAAGCAAATTATTAGGATGATAATTCATTTTTAAAGCTCTAAACGTTTAATTTTTTCCTTTTTGTCCTATTTCAATTTGTAGGTATGTTTTCTTAACTTCATATCCTGTAGCGCAAATCTTTACTGCCTACCATTCTATTGTGTTAGTTATCTCAAAAATAAAGTTTTAAAAATCTGGGCTGTTTAATATTTTTTTAAAAATACTAGATATTTCTTAACTTAATTTCTTGACGTTGTTTATTAACTTTATATCCTATTTATGTGCTATCCTATTTTTGCGAGTTTCTTCTTTTTTTTCTTCCCAAGTCTAGATCCTGCTGCACAAAGCTAAAATGGTTATTTTCTCTTTATATAATGTTCATTTTCACATATAACACTTGACTTCTGAAATGATAATTATTAAGAATTTTGTTCGAAATGTTTTTATTATTTTACACTTTGCATCTTTCTTACGGTATTTCTTAGCTTTTTTTTTCGCTTTTTTATGCTTTTCAATGCATGGATGTTTCTTTTTGCTTAATTTTATCTTTTTTAAGTTATTTCCTACCCTTTTTATAATGTTTAATGCAAAATATTACTTTTTTTATTAGCTTTCTTTTCCTTGTTTCTTAAATTCCTTAGCTCTTAGGTTAGGTTTCTTAGATTCCGTTGCTCAAAGTCAGTTTGATACTCTTCTCTTAGCTGAAAGTGGTGGTTGATTACAGTACACTCCTTGGTTAGATTACCCTGTAAAGAGGGGTACTATCACTAGAAAGATTGTTAATGATTAAATAAGTAAAGAAACAAACAAACAAAATACGCTAAAAGAATATAATTCCAAAAAATCTCCATTCGCTTTAAATCCATTTTTTATGAAAATTCAAGCGTAAATTATTCAATGTGAAAAAGCTATTTCCAATCATTTTCTTTCGCATCAATATTTTTATGTACTAAAAACTTCATCTTTAAATTTTTAAAATCATAATACATTAAAATCATAATATATTCTTCATAAAGTGGATTGATCGTAAAGACACGGTTCCCAGTAGAACATCGAAGTCAATCATCAGTGGCTGCTGTCAGTAAGCGGGTGGGTGATCACTTTGATTAGCCTGCGTAAGGACTGAGGGAGCGCGGTAGCGATTCTCGTTAAACTGTTCTACCGTAAAGTACTTCATCCGTTGGTCGTAAGCCTACCAAATCAGGGGAGTCACCTCCTCTGACGATGATTCAAATTGGGATAGCATGTTTTCGGATCATCCTCAAAGATGATTCCCAGACCGTCGCAGAAATTGTGCAGCTCTAATGAGACTTAAAATAAAGTACTTAATAACTAAGTACCTATCATATACCTATCATGAAAAAAATTTCCTGAGTCAAATTTGTCGAAAAAATTTCATGCTAAAAATATCAGATTTTGAATTTAGTGAATAACTTATAGCTCTGAAGTTGAGAGCATCCTGCTTACTATGCAAGACAACTTTTTATTAATATAAATTCTCTCCAGTTTTAACAAGTAAAGGTGCTTTCTATCCATGATTATTGGATGTATAAAAGATTAAACAATTGAGTAAAGAATTGATTAATTTTATTAATGGTTGAACAATTATTTTATTCTTTAAAATTAACTATTAAAGAATTAATTTATGTTTCAAATTCGGTTCATACTTGAATTCAATTTTCTTCACATCTTAGTGGTTACAAGAAGAAGAAAAAAAGCTATCTGTTAGTGTTTGAACATTTAAGAGCCTTATTTATTTCCGTTTTTATATTGAAAAATCGGAAGCGCTGTCTCTGTTTTGGATATTCAACTTTTCGTTATTTTTTGTTTTGTAGCGCAGAAACTAATAGATTTAGAAATTTGTAAATGGGAAAATGTGTAGAAAATTGAACAGGGAGTAAGAGGTAATAAAAAAAAGTCCGCATTTGATAATTAGTTCAAAAATTATTATCTGTTTAACATGTAGTAAAAAGGCCATCTGGTTAACCCAGCTGATATGCGATTACAGAGTTGAAATTAGACATTTTCATTTACGAGTTTCGTGTTTGACTCTCATGAAATCTTACGTGTCTAATTTGTTCAAAAGTTGTTGGAATTTTAAATGTTTTTTTTTCACAGCATTTTTTTTTCTTTTTCTTTTTTTCTCTTCTTCTTCTTTTTTTTTTTTTTTTTTTTTTTTTTTTTTTTTTTTTTTTTTTTTTTTTNCCTAAATATTGAATATTTAGCCATTCTCAAAAAAAAAAAATTTCTCTCCAGATATGTATTTTATAAACTTGTCAAAAATAAGCAGAAAAATAAGTAAATATATTGAAAAAATAAGAGAGCGAGAGATTAGATGTTGCTAAACCTAAATCTTAAATTGAAATCATTAGAAATGTAAAAGGTTCAAGAGATTTATTAAGGTTATCATTACATATTACTAACATACAAGTAAATTATCATACATACATACAAGTGAAATTACTTCTCGTTTATTACTTAATATTGTGTCACAATTGTTTTTATTCCTAATTTCAAATATTTTTTTCAATTTCAAATGCAGGTATCAATATTTTTCGAATATAGATATCCGTTCATTTGTTACGATTAACAAATTCACAAAATGTGCTAACATAAAGTTATAGTAATTATATATTTTAGAAACAAAATTATCTTTTTTTATCAATTTTTATGAGGAAAAAAACATTGATAAATGAGGAACAACTACGGGAGTTGAATAGCACAGCTAACGGGAAGCAGAATATGCTGGTTTTAAAAAAAATTATAAAAATTACATAAAAAAATTACAAAAATACAAATAAAATCTCATAAGAAAATTTCAAAAATAAAGAAATATTGTTACTACAGTCATGTTACTTTTATTTGTGGAACTTGATGTCACCAGTTGTTTGTTTGCACTTTCCAAATAATTAAGAATATAATATTGCACAGAAAATAAAGATAAATTTCATATATTTTGAGCATTTTTTTTTTTTTTAGGAAAATTTATTCTGCAATTTGTTATTAGAGATATAGTGATTAAAAGAGTATCTTAAAAAAAATAAACAAATAGATAAAATATATAACTTAACTGAAATTCGCTATCAAACCGTGCTGCCACCTGTGAGAATATTTCAAAACTATTTATATCCATAATTTAGAGAACTGAAAATATTTAAACAATATAAATATATCGCATTAAAATATAATGGAAATAGAAAAGACATTTTAACATAATTATAATAAAAAAATTTAAAGAAGGAGTGGCGTTTTAAACTAAACTCAATTTTACATATATAAGTAAATAAAAAGGGAAACTTTGAAAAAAAATCTCCCTTAGCTTAGAATCTTTTGATTTTAAACTTAGTTTTCACTTCTTTTCATTTGTACATTTATCATTTCAAAGAAATAGATATTATTAACAACAAGAAATACAAAGATATTATTGAAAGAAAAGGAACAGTATTATGAAATAATACGTATTATTTTTGATATTGTCCAAAGTAATTATATGTGAAAAATTTTAATGTTTTGTTTCAATATTTAGTTTTCCTAAAAAAATTATAATATAATTTCCAAAATATTATTTTTGGATTATATTAGAACAACTGAGGGATTTTTAAAAAATTCCTTTTCATACATTTTAGTAAATAAAAATGAATTTGGCATTTTTTGAACAATTGGATAGTAAAAAATTTAAAATTTAAGGAAAAATAAAACAAATATTGAACCAATTAATCAGCTTTCATTTCATCTTTCATTTTCATTTTCTTTTTTTTTGGAAAAATATTTCGAGAATTTAAACTCGTGATCCTTTCTAGTAAAGTTTTTGAAAAAAAAAAGTAAAATTAAATAAATAAACATAAAGTCACTAAATGAAATATAGTTATATAGTTAAGGTGGAAATTTTCAGGAGTGAAAAAAAAAGAATAAAGAACAGTAAAAATCTTTAAGTAAAAGAGACTTGAAGCTGCATTTAGCAGGTTTTAATACTTCTGTAGAATATCGAAAATTTAAAAAAAAAAATTCGCTCCTTTAATAACTTAGTTTATTTTCCTTATCTTCGAAAAGAAAATTTCAACTATTAACACTATTAAAGATATTATATAACCCCAACACAATAGAAGAAAAGCCCCATACAAATCTTCAAGGTGAAGAGGTTTGATTTTTTCTTCAGAAGGTTTAACAAATTTTAACAATCTCTCATTGGATTTCCATGATTCTTCTCTAAATATTTTACCAAAAATCCCAGCTTCAACCAATCTTAATATGATTTCATCTAGTTTAGCTTTGCAGCAAAATTTCTTGTTGATGGTAACTACCAAAGATGATACTATCAAGTTATCACCTGAAATGAATACGTCCTCCATCAAGCCGAAATTCTTCTTTAACGTGAGTTTTATCATAATCAATGCATTTCCTTCTTGAATGCTTTGCACATAAGAATCCTTAATGCCATCCAGATTTCGAACAAACCACTCATTTCTTATCATTATATCCCCTAGTGTTCTCATGTATTTTTGTTCGGCATTTGTAAACATTCTATTGTAGAGAGTCCCGCTTCTAAAATAGCATTTCACATTGCCATTGGCAACAGCCTTAGACAACGTTTCGAAATCTTTGACTGCTTCTTGCTGAATGGGTACCGTTAAAAAAGACAAGAGTACTGCGCAATAAGAGGTTGAAATTACAAAAACAAAAGACCACCAAGATAACAAAAGGAGTCTGTCTTTCAGTGCTTGACTTTGCATTTTGAGCGATTGTCCTATAACATTACCAAATAGTCTGAAGCAAAAATATTGGTATGATCTCCTATGCGATAGAATCAACTTTAATATTATTGGAAACAAAAAGATAAGAAGTAAACAGCTTAGCCATGTTCCAAAAGTAAATGGGTGAATAAAAACATACGTTTTGGGTAAAGTACCTGGCTTCTTAATGGCAAAAGTAGTGCTAGTTATTGCGTATGGCGTGCTAAAGTCCACATAGGGCATTCTGTCAGTTGATGGTGATATAAGAGACATGGCGATATCTGCCACGCCATCATGGACGAGTCCGATCATTCCAGTCCAGCTGCCATCCTCCCGTTGTCTACCCCATTCACCGTCATCAGGAGTAATAATTGTGGCTTTTACCTTCATAGCTTCCAAAATTGCGTTCAAAGATCTACCTTCAAATCCTGAAACAACATACTCACCGGATTTAGATCGGGTTAAGTTTAACCCTTCTACATTCACAACAGCAACAGTAAGAGCACTAGGAAATGCCATGTTTAAGCTAAGTAGCTCATTCCATATAAGCAGCAGCAACAGAATAAAAGGCATGATAGTAACAGTGCAACGTTTAAAATAATATTTCTTGGAGGCTTAATAATAGTGTTACGCCGATATCTTTTACGTAAATAACCGCAGTTATTAAAAATAATACAGCTCTGTAATTTTGCTACAATTTTTTCCTCCGAGGTATAAATGAACTGGGAAATCATACAATTGATTGCACCGATACCATCTCACATTCACAATTACTGTTGTAAGTCAACTTGAAATTTTTCATGCTCATCTTAGTTACTATGTTATTTTTTTGCTACTTCATGCTTAAGGGTACATTTTCATCATCAGCTATAAACGAACTAGAAAATAGACATGTGTCATAGTCAACAGCAATTGTTAAGTAGTTGGAAATTATCCGTTTTCGGATTAATATAATATTTTTATACTTGTAACATCAGATACAATATAATTGATCTAAGAAATAAAATGCTCAGATTTTGCCGATGCTTCTAGTAAATGAGTTATCATTTCTAAGATAGTTATTAAGTATCGGCATTTGCAATATGTAGACTCTTTTAACATTTACAACACTAAAACAAAACTAAAATACATGTGGGTTTCGTTAATTCGGCTCATATTAACAAGAGAAATTGTGATTTAGTTAGAGATTGTTCTTATTCCTATAATTATGACTATTTTACATTTGATACAGCAACTATAACAAAACTAGATATGATGTGACTGGTTTGCGTAGAAGTTTCTTAGAATCTATACCAGTGTTACTCTGACGGTTTTCTCATTTAGAAATATAATTTATAAATAAACATCATTTGGTGGATATCCTTAAGCACACACATTTCCAGAACAATAATTATGACCAAAACCTCTAATACATTTGCATTATTCATTTCATAATTTGCATTTACATAACTATACCATTAATGCTTTATGTTCTGATTTTGATGTATGAATCTGAACAGTAACGTGTTTTACATATCTTTAAAAATTAGGTTGGATATTCACGTCTTACTAACTCATTATTTTTGATACTATTTATAAATTAAGAAACTTTTATTTAAAAATACTATTTAGAATAGAAACGCTTGGATTATCAGAAATGTAAATTGGATAAGGAAACAGAGGAAAGAAAATTGCTTTCTGGAAAATAAGCGTTGCATTTTTAATCAAACAAGCTCAATTCTAACTTCTGAAATTGGAATAATGAAATGCATGGTTTTTGAAAATTCTTTTTCTGTGAATCTAACTGTAATGCATATCAGGAATATTTCTTAATTGTGCTTCAGTTTCTCATTAAAAATTTCATTTTTGACAGGTATTTTTATCTTAAAAATATTTTTGTTAGGATTCAGTTATTTTCAAATATTGTGAAATTATAAGTTGTGCACAGTTTCAAAAATATTGATTATTTCTACAAAGAAATGTAAGGTTTTATAAGAATATCCTTTAAATAAATTGCGAAATTTGCATATAAGAGTTGAATTTTTCGTTTTAGCTTTATATCAATTTTATAAATTTATGTTTTAACGCACAAAAAAACTTATAGTTAGTAAAAAATTAAAATTTAAACTATCCAATTTTTGATATGTTTAAAAATATCTCTGAAAACATAAATTTTTTGGCATTTTCCACGGTTTTTTATTGTTTATTATTTCGTAAATGTTTATGCAGAAGTATGTACAGTGCGCAAAAGAAGAAAAAACGGACCACCCTGAATAGCTTTTGATCTAATGAATGGAGCTTCACGTTCTAGGACTCAATCTTAATGAAGGGTTTACCTCAAATATGCTAATTAATTAGAGCAGACGATATTTTAAGTTACGAAATCAGACACAAAAACGTACTTTCTTTGAATAAACATATCTTATTTGCGACCTATTCGGATATCTTACCTCCAAAATATAGAGGGTAGCCGTAATCTGGGAAATTTTTTCGCCATAGTTTAGTCAGAAGGGCGGTCCAAAGTTAGGACCCTTTAATATTAATTTTACTTTTAGCAAATTTCATCATACTTCAAGAACTTTTTAAACAAATTGAAAAATTTTTGAAAGCAATTATAAAAATCGTATATTCAATGATACTTCCTTGCAAAAATAAATTTTAGTAAATGTTTATATTTTTTTATTATTTTATTTAATAATAGTAATAATAGTCAAAAAATGTAATTATATTTAATTTATATTATATATATTATGAAAATTTATTTAGTCAAACGTAACTTTTTACATAATTTTAAAGTATGCAATTTTAAACGCAAAATAAAAAATTTCAGCGATGTCGGTTGAATAGTTCCTGAGGAATCGAATTTTAACTATGCAACTTCTTTAAAATTCAATTTCTGAAGATCTATTAGACTGATTTCTCTCAAATTTGTATTTTCCCATGTAAATTTATATACTTTAAAATTATGTAAAAGTTTACATATCTTACAATTCAAATTTCTTTCGACAATTATGAAATAAAGTAATAAAAAATAATCAATATTTACTAAAATTTATTTTTGCTTGAAATTACCTTTGGATAAACGAATTTTATCACTGCGTACAGGCATTTTTTCAATTAGCATAAAAGTTTCTTGAAATGTGGCTTAGTATGCAAAAAGTAAAATTAGTATTAAGGGGTCCAAACTTTGGATCGCTCCACTGACCAAACTATGGGGACAATCTTTCGCAGATTGCGGCCACTCCTTATATTTTTGGAGATCAGATTTCCGCATTCATCGGAAAAAAGGTATATTTATTCAGAGAGAGAGAGAGCGTTTTTGTGTCTAATTCCGTGACTTAAAATATCGTCTGCACTTATTTTTTAGCATATTTGAGATCACTTCCTCTAACCATTAAGATTAAGTTCTAGAACGTAAAGATCCGATCATTAGATCAAAAATTATTCTGGGTTTCAAAATTCAAAAATTGGGATCAAAAATTGTATTTTTTCCTTTTTTTGCCTTATAAAATTACTTACAACCGATTTGGGGTCAAACGAATAGATTATAATTTAATTTTATACTTTTTCTGGGTTTTTATATTGATGAGGTGTTCATAAAATTTTTACTTTTAGTTACTACATAGCTATTACTTATCAAACTAAAATCGGGGTTACATCCTCAGTAAATTATTTTGAATTTCAAATTATCAAGGAACAATATTATTTTTATGTCTTCCTATTTACTTTCATTATCATGGGAACTTTATCTTGCGATAATATGTCATTTTTCAATTTTTTATCCCATTATTTTAACACATCATGACTCAATTATTTTAAACAATTACTATTACTTTTATCAGCACTGATTAAACATCTCTTTTTGTTCTGATTTTCAAACACAAAGGAAATTTAGAAGGCTTCAGCGAAGGTTAAGGTAAAATTTTTGCATTTTAATAAAATATTGTGTAAAAACGATTTGTTGCAATTTATGAATTTTTTTTTATATTGACATCATTACATTTTAAATTTAATTTAAAATTCATGTGCTCTACTTTACTTTTAGATGATCATGATACTAAAATAAATAAATAAACTATTTTGCGACTTTCAGATTTAACATTATGTAGCAACGAGTTGTATCACAATATCGTCCAAGTTGACTGCAAACTTAAAACTATTCTAAGCTTAATCAAATTATCATTCAAATTTTGATTTTGATTAAACAATTTAAATATTTAAGTGAATTTGATTGAGTGAACAGATAGCTCAACTTCAACGAAAACATGGTCGCGCTAAGTTACAGTGCCAGTAAACTTGTGTCAGATTATGGCTCAAGGTACAGATATAATGGTTCAACTTTGAATCGATTTTTTGGATAGTGTACAATTTATTACTTTTATATTCCTTTTACTTAAGATTTAAACAGTTTAGTCTGGTCTATTGAGCTGACTGTTATAGTCAACTGTGCTGTCATGTTAAATTATGATTAAATGATTCAAACATTTGAATGAATTTGATTATGCAAATTGGTGGCTCAACTTGAATGAAACACGATTCATTAAACACCGAATTTCGGTTGCAAATTTGTGTCAGATTATGGTTCAAGGCACTAAAATTATGGTTTCACTTTGAACCGATTTTTAGGAAAGTGTATTGTATATTGAAAGTGTTTATATTAATTTTGCTTCAGACTTAAGTCATTTGTTTAGTCTACAGAGCTGGTTGCCATAGTAAATTATGATTAAGCGATTCAAATATTAGAATGAATTTGCTAACTCAAACAGATCTTACAACTTGAACGAAACCATGATTCAATTAAACGCCAAATTATAGTTGCACTAAATTTGTATCATATTATGGTTCAAGGTGCTTATATTATGGTTCAAACTTTGAGCAGATGTTTAGAAAAGAGCATAGTATATTTAATACATTTTTATTACTTTGACACTAGATTTAAACAATTCGTTTAGTCTAGTCTATAGAGCAGACTTTTATAGTTGATTTTGATCGAAAGATTTAAATACTTGAATGAATTTGAATGCATACGGCTGAACTTAAACAAAAACGTAGTTTGAATTACCGAATTACAGCTGTAGCACTGTAACAGATTTGTATCAGATTATGGTTCAACTTTGAGCCGATTTTTTGGAAAGTGCATTGTATATTTAGTACTATTTTACTACTTTGACATTAGATTTAAACAAATCTAAACCTAAATTAACAAGATTCAAACAAGATTAAACTTAGTCCAATCTATGGAGTAGACTGTCATAGTTGATTTTGATAGAACGATTTAAACTACTTGAATGAATAAAAATGCACTTGGCTGAACCATAGAGTTGAAATACTGGGCTGAACTTGAGCAAAATCGTGGTTCATTTAAACACCGAATTATAGATTTTATAATTTTTATCAGATTGTGGTTCAAGGTACTTATATTACAGCTCAACAGTGAACCGATTTTTTGGGAAGTTTATGGTATATTTAATACTTTTTTACTACTTTCATTCAAGATTTAAACAATTTGCTAAATCTATAATTATTTTGTTAGTTAAATACTACGATTCAGAGTATTTTACAAATCCTCATTCCTTAGAAGAGAAGTTCAGTATTATGTTTTTCAAAAAAGAAATTTTAAGCAAAAAACTTGTTTAAACTTGTGCGAACAACTTGCTATTTTTAAGAGCTCAAATAGATGTAAGCACTTAGACACATCTATTTATCTAGATGTTTTGGTTACTTATGGTCGACTTAAAAGAATATGTGTGAATATTTGAAGATTTAAAAATTAAATTTTGTATCAGGACAAAGTAATTAGAAAAAATTAAGATATGTAATAGTGTAAAATATCGCATATGGAGAAGAGAAAAAATACTTCGTCGACTGAATATTGCATGATTTAATTATAATTTTATTTTAGATATTTATAAATATTTGTTATTTTAATGTAGCTATGATTTTTAAAATGGTTTAAAATTATTTATTTGATAAAAATATTAATTTGATAAAATTGTTAATTTAATAAAAATATTACACTAAAATGGTAAAAATATTACACTAATATTTAAAGTTCGTAAAAGTCAGTTTTATACATTTCTAATATTTTTTTTTATGTTGCATCATATTTTAGTCAATAAAAGTTTCAATATGAACAGTAAATACGGAATATTAATATGAATTTTAAAAAATGATTCTCTTAGTTATATTTAAGAGAATAGTTCTAAACAGGGGCCAGTTTCTAACCATTTTATAAAATGCCTCAAAAGTTTTAAAACACAATTCGACAATGAACATCACAGATTTGAATATACAGTCGGACTTCTATATAACGAACTTCCATTTTGCGAATTTCTCTATTTTGCGAATTTTTTCAAGGAACCAAGAATATTTTGGAAATTTCCTCGTAAAATAACTCCCGAATAGCGAAGTGAATTTTCTATTTAACGAACTTTTCTTTGAGATCCTCTTTCCCTACTTCCCAAAATATTTCAGAACATTTTAAACTTGTTAACGTATTTTATGGGGAAAATAACCTTGAATTGAATTTCAAAGCCATTTTAGAATGCATGAGGTAATGTATGTTTAAAATTATTTTTATAATATATGCAGTTATAATTTTATGCATATATTTAGCTTTCTTTAGTTGAAAATGTATATAGCATGATTGTGTAACACTGGATTTTGTTTTGCTCTATTCTTGCTTTCCATGCAGATTTCTTTTAGAGATGGCACCGATTCGAAAAGTAGCGGTTATTGGAGCTGGCATCGTTGGAAGTTCATCAGCATTAATTGCAATAGAAAAAGTGCCAAACATTGAAGTGACACTCATATCAGAAACATTCAGTCCATTCACGACCGGTGACGGATCAGCAGGATTATGGAAGCCATATTTGTTGGGCAACGTTGCTCCAGAAAGATTGAGGTAAAGAAAAATATATCTTGCATAAAAAGGATTTTTTTTCCTTGCAAAATCTTTTGAAACTGATTTTATAATGAAACATGAGCATCAATATGTTTAACGACACTCATATATGTCAAGAAATATTTATGCATAACTTTTTTAATTAGAAACTTAATTTATTCAAAACACGCCTAACTCGAAGTATGTATATTGCTAACACAAAAGTAGACAATTGGCTATTTCTTTTATATTTTTTTGCAATGTTGAAATCAGCTGAAACTGTTTTTATATTTAAAAATGGTAGCCAATTTGTTTGAAAACACCCATACATGTCTAGAAATACCTATAGATAATTTAATAAAGAAAATTGTTTCGTCCAAAACATACCAAATTCAGAGTATATTATTCGCCTACACAAGAGTTGACAATTTGCGGAGTTTTTACAATGCGGAGTTCTGTTAAAACTGGTTTAATATTCAAAAAGGGCCGTCAATTTGTTAGTAAGCACTCATATGTGTCAAGAAATATTTATCGATAATTTGAAAAAAAAACTTTCTGCGCCTAATTCTGAGTGTAAGTAATATAGCATCATTAATATAAGGGTAGACAATTTGTAATTTTTTAAAAATATATTTTTGAAATTCAGAATTTATTTAAAACTAATATCATAAAAAATGAGAATTAATTTATTCAAAAACATCAATACGTAAAAAAAAAATTTATTGATAATTTCAAAGAAACAAAGAAATTGTCTAGTCCAAAATACTCTAAATTCACGGCTTTTTTGGAATCCCAAACACAAAGGTGGACAATTTACGAATATTAAATACTAAAAGAATATTAAATACAAACGAATATGAATTATAATAATTAAATGCATGAATATTAAATACAAGAATATTATAAACAAAATTTAATAACAAATGAATAATACCTAGCAATAATCATCCGGAGACCAAAATGTGATGATGTAAGGAAAGAGAACATACTTTTATGCGTAATAATTCCGGTCTCATATTTAACACATCTTATTTAATAGTACAATATTAAATTTGTGGCAAACCCCTTATCATTTATTAGCCTTCTTCTGAAAAGTACAAAAACTGNTGTGGACTTTTCTGTTAAAACTGGTTTAATATTCAAAAGGAGCCGTCAATTTGTTTGGAAACACTCATATGTGCCAAGAAATATTTATAGATAATTAAAAAAAGAAAAAAAAATTCTGTGCCTAATTCTGAGTGTAACTAATATATCATGACTAATATAAGGGTAGGCAATTTGTAATTTGCTTCAAATAAATTTTTGAAATTCAGAATTTATTTAAAACTAATTCAATATAAAAAATTAGAATTAATTTATTTAAAAATGCCCATGCGTAACAAGAAAATATTTATTGATAATTTTAAAGAAACAAGAAATTGTCTAGTCCAAAATACTCTAAATTCACGGCTTTTTTGGAATCCCAAACACAAAGGTGGACAATTTACGAATATTAAATACTAAAAGAATATTAAATACAAACGAATATGAATTATAATAATTAAATGCATGAATATTAAATACAAGAATATTATAAACAAAATTTAATAACAAATGAATAATACCTAGCAATAATCATCCGGAGACCAAAATGTGATGATGTAAGGAAAGAGAACATACTTTTATGCGTAATAATTCCGGTCTCATATTTAACACATCTTATTTAATAGTACAATATTAAATTTGTGGCAAACCCCTTATCATTTGTTAGCCTTCTTCTGAAAAGTACAAAAACTGCTTGGAAAATCTCTTGGAAATTTTTTATTCTTTAAGATATTCAGATCAAACTTCTTCAATAGTTGCCAAATACGTTTCACTACGAAATAATGAAGGAAAAAAACCCTTTTTTTTCTGAGCATGCACAGTATAAAAGAAAAATCTTTAAATACTCATATCCAGCGCAGTTTTTAACGATTTTTCTTCTTAATTTTAAATCAATAATTTTGTTATTAATTTTAAATTAATCCTAAAATTTGTTTAATTACATTGGATAATTTTAAAGTTATAGCAAAAAAAAAGAAAACGCAGGAAATTTTTTTTTTGGTTTTTTTATAAAAAATGTCCATATCTCCATAAATATTTACTCTAGGTTAACGAAATTTTATGCCCTTATTAGATATAACAACTGAAGTAATCGATACCTGAAAGAAGCCTATTGCTTGAATTTTTTGTATAGGGTGTTCTATAATACTTGTTTTCTTTCATAATTCATTACAGGCCTATGAAAACTTTATTATTGCTAATGCTAAGTATGAAAAATAGCATAGACTAAACACCTCTAAAGTTACGAAATAATCATTTAAGTATTTCTTGAGAAATTTAAGAAAAATTTCAAAAACTGAAAGTGTCTCTTCCATTGTACATATAAAGCTAAAATAAAGGTAGACAACTTGTGATTTCTTTTTTTTTTAATTTTTGAAAATTTGGAATTTATTTGAAATTAGTGTCATATTAGAAAGCTAGAATCAATTTATTTTAAAACACCCATAAATACCACACCATGTCAATAAATACATATTCATAATTTTTTTAAAAAAAGAGGTTGTTTAGTGCAAAACACTCCATAATCAGAGCATGTATACACCACTCCTACAAAGCTTTGCTAATTTTTTATAATTTTTCATAATGCAGAATTAAGTAAAAGCTGGTTTCATATTCAAAATTGAGAGTCAATTTGTTTGAAAAGACTTATATTTGGCAAGAATATGTATGAATAATTTTAAAAAATGTATTTTTTTAAATCCAAAACACGGCTTATTTAGAGAGGTAATTCAAAAACGAATAATTCAGAGTATGCATTATACACCGAAGAGTCATTACATTATGACCACCCTGCTAATAACATGTAGGACCACCATCAGCCCTCAAAACTGCTAGCACCCGCCGTGGCATTGACTCCACAAGGTGCTGATAGGTAGTCTGAGGTATCTGGTACCAAGCGCTCACCAACTGGTCCTGCAATTCCCTCACATTGCGAGGGGGTAGCGTGGCAGCACGAATTTGGTTTTCCAAGTAGGACCACAAATGCTCTATTGGATTAAGGTCAGGTGAATTTGGGGGCCAAGACATGACTTGAAAGTCACTGGAATGTTCCTCGAACCAATCCATGACGATTCGACCCTTATGACATGGTGCATTATCCTGTTGGTAAACACCATCCCCCGCAGGAAAAACTGTTGCCATGAATGGGTGAACCTGGTCTGCAACTATGTTCAAGTAGCTTACAGACGTCAGGGATTATTATATGAGGATTATTTGTTATATGAGGATTAGGGGTCCTAATGTGCCCCATGAAAACATTGTTCCTTAGCGAGAAACCATGAAAACCTGGGTGAGCCCATTGTTTTAGATGAAGGGTGGTCATAATGTAATGGCTCTTCAGTGTATATCCTAACACAAGGTATTAGTAAATATCTTGTGAACTTTTAATAATTTATTGCAAAGAAGAGTTCATTTGAAACTGGTTTCATATTTAAGAATGAGCGTCAATTTTTTTGAAAAGACCAATATTTAACAAGAAATATTCATGAAAAATTTTAAAATGTTTTTTAAATAAAACTCATATATGTTAAAAATAATTTGTTTACTATATAAAAAATTTGTTTTGTCCAAATCAGAGTAGAACCAGGTTAAATTTTAGTCATGTTTCAAAAAAGTTGTAATTTTAATCACATTTCGCATTTTTCTAGTGGTTGACTTTGTATTCAGTGCGTTTCCTGAAGAAAGAACATAATATACATATTTCGAAAAACTTTTGACTTAGGGATAAAAAATTGAATTTCAAATAAGAAAGAGTAATATTTTTTTCAAACTTTTAGCAATAACTATATTGGTCAATAAAAGAAATATAGAATTAAAATCATAATCAACTTTTTTTCATGAGAATAAATATTTCTAGCAAAAAGCATTGTTATTCCAATATTAAAATATCCTATATATTAACCTATATAATGTTTGCTTAGAGCATAAAAAATGTATCATTTTTTCTCAATTAAATATTTATTTGCAACGCTTAGTCTTTTTACACCATTTTTTTAAACGAACTCTAAATATATATCTTAAGATTGGTCATAAAGTCCCCTGAATCTGAGTAAAAAGGATGTTATTAACAACACTGTAATTTAGACAAATCATTTGTTTTGCTATATTGAATAAAAGTATCCAATTTCAACTGTTAGCTTCTAAATTCAAATTAATATTTTGTACTTCAGTGTAATGCTAAATGCTTCAGTAAAATGTTTTCTGTTTCAGATTTTGGTTAACAAAAACATTTAATTTTCTTCAAGATATTTTTATGTCTGAAAATGCAAGTGAATGTGGTGTAGGACTGTTACCATGTTACGAGATTTCTACAACTCCATTAGTAAGAGAATTTTTTAAATTATTATGTAAAAAAACGCATTTACTAGCAACTGAAGTTTAAAAATATATTTAAATGACATTTTGATCATTTTTATTAAAAAATAAAGCTTTTCTAATTAAGTTTTAATTTTATTTTATTTTTTAAGTGCTCGAAATTGAGAACAGTCGACCAATCTTTAAATTGTAGTTTTATTTCATGCATTGTTCCAGAACAATGTATATTTTAAGTTTAAAACTGACGTGATTATGCAGAACTGGAATATTTTTAAATATCGCTTTTTTTTCAGCACAGCACATATAAAAATGTTTACTTAGTAGAATTTTCTTCTTTTTTTGTCAAATTAGGGCATCAAAATATCATTTGTCAAAATATCTAACATTTATTTATGAGTAAAAATTAAACATATGCTGAATTTAAATATTTGCAACAAATGAAATATTTCATACCAAATTAAATTACAAAGAAAACTAATGATATCAATGTTTTATTTAGTACGTAACTTTTTTATTAGAGTTGTATTTAATACCAAACAATTTTATTAGTGTTATGATTAGTATATAACTATTTTATTAGCGTTGAACTTAATACATAACTATTCTTAGTATTCTTATATTTACTAGTCTACTTAATTATTGCTTAATTTTCTGATGCTTTTTGGAAAATCCATATTTTGATTTACAAGATTTTTGTTGGTATCAAACAATGAACTTCTTCTCTATTTATCCAAAAATTGCTCAATAATTCATCAATTTAATTCGATTTGAATAATTCATCAATTAATCATTCAATTTGAAAACAAATTTCAAATAGATAATTTAATATACAATTGGAACAAATAGTTAGATAGCTTTGTTTATTTTAAATATAAGTTTGTGTTACTGTAAATTTAACTATTGATTATAGTGAATGTAAATAAATGTTTTTTATTTTCTTCTATTTTAGGAAACACCTACATTTAAAGATATATTTCTAGATTGGAGGCCTATGAATTTAAAAGAAATGGCTCTATTTCCTTCTCGTTATAAGTAATTTGAAAAATTCATTTTTTTTCTTAGTAACAGTTGTATAAATTATGTATATAACTTGTACTATTTCAAGTATTTACTGTACTATTACTATATAATAAGTATTATTCTAAGTAAATAATACAAAGTATTTATTCATTTTGAAAGAGGGTGGTAACAAATCTATTACAGCAGTCACTATATGGCTATTTTTAACTCCGTAGCCTTTCCATACGGAAATTTAAGGTATTTTTGAGGTTTATTTGAGAGTTATTCGAAGTTGATTTCAATAACAACATTAAAAGATCAACCTCCCAAGGTACATAATCAATGTGTATGAAGTTACTTTATTCACACTTGAGGCTGTATTGAGGTTGGTGAAAATCTACTTTAGAGCAATCCAGCTCAGGGAGGTTGTTTTTGAGATGTATGGATCTCTGGGATTCGAACCTGGGTACCTCACTGAAGATGAGTCATCGTGACTCTATAAAAAAAAAATACTAGGTTTTTATTACCTCAATATTGGTAGAATATTTTAATATATATTAATCATCTCTGGCTCAATAATATTTTTTGCCCCACTTCATAAAATAAATTTGAGTTGTTAAAAATGTAACTTTTTGAGCTATTTTAATATTAATAGTTTCAAGAATTCTCAACATCGTACTTTATATCACGATGAGCGAGAAGAACATATTAGAAACACCTATTTGATAATATCCATTCACATACATAGTTACTAGAATTTTCTTTTTCATGGCAACTACCGTAAAAAAAAGAAAAATAAACTTGTTTTAAATGAGTCACGTGACATTTTTTTTATATTGAGATTGCGAAAAAATATTGCGAAGGGCAAATTACGGCTGTATGTATGCCAGTAAATAAAGTCGTACAAATATATATATTTTCTAAATCATCTGTAAGTGCTTCAAATTGAGTAAAACATTTGTTGCAAACTGAATTACTATTCTTCGAGATTATTCCAGATACTTTCGAAAAAAGCTCATGTGGTCGATTGATATCTAACAAAATGTATCGCATATTATTCAAATTTTTGAGTAATTTTCAAAGCAACATAAAAAAAGCTTATAGTATATATGGTTTAATGAAAATAGTTTTTTTTTTAGATTTTAAAAACATTTGTATAATATTACGAAATATATTTGTATTAAAATATATTTGTACAATATTCCGCATTTTTATTAAACTCTATATGCTACAGACTATTTTATTTTATTTTAAAAATTACTCAAAAAATTAGTATATGTGATATATTTTGTGACTTATACTTTTATTTTGTGACATATATTTCATTTTGTGACATATATTTCATTTTGTGACATATATTTCATTTTGTGACTTAGACTCTTTGAATATATAACTTTTCTTGTAGATATGGAGCTTTTATGACTACTTATTTTGCGGAATGTACAAAACTTATTCCTGAACTCCTCAAAAAGTAAGTAAATTTTCCGCATTTATAATTTATGTCACTTCCACAAACAACTAGGAGTTAAAATTTTCCTTCTGTTATTTAAAACCTCATTATTAAAATAGTTTATCTAAGACATCGGTTATGAGTAATAAGAACTGAGGCTTTGCATGATTTGGGCTCTAACTAATAAAAATTGGAGTTTTAAAAATATATTTAAAAGAAATGTTGAGAAAAAAATACTAATTTAAAATGGTAAATTTTAAAAAATTAAACAACAACTAGTTTTCTATCATGGATAAAAAAAATGTTGGTAAAATTACCGTACTCTATGGTAATGACATTTCTGGTAAAAGAAACATTCTAATTTTGTAAATAAAAACAAAAATAAATGCTATAAGAGTCATTCATTTAGTAGTTTTTCCGTTCATATGGTAACGATTTACTGGAACGCTGGTTTTCAAAATTATAGTTCTTATTACCACACATTTAGTCAAAAATACAAAACTGAAAAATGAATTTAACCGTATAAATGGTTTTTATGCCATGCTCTAAGGTAGCAAGATGAAACTACCAAATTTTAGCAAATTTACCAAATTTTATCACATAATTTAAAACTATATTTTGTTGTTAATTTTACTAAAATTATTACCATAGCTCTCAGTAAAAGTTGCTCAGTGCTTTGATGTTTCCATAGACTTAGAAAGACGGCAAATTTTACCATATTCTGGTAGTTTTGATCACACTTTTTTTCTCAGTGATTAGTCTAAGTGAATATAATGCTGAATATCAGCAAGTTTGAGGAAATTTTCGATTGAAAAAAAATCTATTGGAAAATTTGGTTGTTCGAAAATTTATGAAAAATCGACGATGCTCTTATTATTCTCCTAACCCACTCCACCAAAAAAGCTCTTTGATAAAAGTTAAATGTACTTCAAGTGTTTCTCTTCGAAACTCAAAAACGCTTCTCCAAAAATATGAATTTTTTAAGTTTATTTTGAAAAAAACACACATTTTTGATGATTTATTTGGTGGTTCCTTTTTTTCAAGAAATTCAGATGCCAATTTTAAATAAAAGTTTTAAGTTTTTTTATACATAAGTAAATTATTTGAATTCTAAGCAGTACTCTCAATTTAAGATCATTTAGTTTTGATGAATGAAAGTTTACTTTTTCTAACTCGAGAATTTTTGTATAAGTACTTGGTGTTTTATTTTTATTTCAGAATCTCAAGGTAGAATTGTGTGACCATAGTAAACCTTAATATATTAACCATAACCGTGAAACCATTCTCCATAATTTTACTTATAACTTAAAATACTTATAAGTTTATAAATATATGCAAATCAGAAAAATTAACATCTTTAATAAACGACTTTAATATTAAACGATCGTTTTAAATGTTTTCAGTTATTATGACTACTATTTGTTTTTATTTAATTTCTCGAATGATGTCTTAAAATGATTATTAATATAACGACTGAATTACTCAATAAATAGAACGGGCGAATCAGGAAATTGCATGAGAATGGTCAAATCTTGTTTAGATGAATCAGTGAAAATACGAATTTCTTTTTTAATAAATTTTTTTTAAAAAAAAGCTTATATACGTGAAATTTGTGGTACCGTAATCGACGTAAGCAATTATTTTTTAGATGTTTTTAGTTAAATATTAACTTTTATTTTTAACTTGGTGCTCTGTAATTAGTACATGTGGTATGTACTATATTTCCAAAATCAAGTAAAAAATATAAACAAATGGGTGCTGCTAGATTGGTGTTTAAATTAAAAAGAAAAGAAAAACGCTATTGAAATCTGGCTTATCCTAATCGTAGAAAGTTAAGAACATCAAATTTTATGCGATTGACAGAAGAAAGTAAGACGAGATGAAAAGTAATTTTTAAAACCGATCGGAAGCTTTTAATCCTTTTTCTTTTGGTACATTTTTTCCCTACTTTAATATTCATTGGTGACACAATATGAGCATGCCTTTTCTTTCCTTCCATTTTGATAAGGGTACTCTATATTGGGAGTGATAATTACGAAACACCATAATATGCATAACAAAATTAACTATTTTCTAATTTTGATGATTTGAATGAACTATGACTAATTTAATTCATTTCAGATTTAAAGAACGTGGAGGCCAAATAATAAAACAAAAAGTGGAAAATTTTTCTGAAGTCAGTAAATTTCATTTCTTTCCATCTCAGTTTCAACATTTAAATTGTTATTAATATTAATCATTAAAAGCACCATGACATGTCTCTTTTTATCATAACTAAGTGGCGACGTCATTGTCAGGTTTATGAATGCCATGTAGCTTGAATTAATTTTCGAAATTTGGGCTTTTTGTTTGAATCGTAATTAAGATAAAATTAATTGCTGTTCATAACATAATCAAAAAAATAATAATGAATCAATTTTAAAATTATTAAGAAAATATATGTTGTTATTATCGAAAGTAAGAGAAAGTTTTTCTTCGATTTTCTTCTCATTCTTCTTATACCGCTTCACTCCGTAGGGAGTATAAGGCCTCAATCTATCTAGACTCTCCATCTAGACTATCTAGACTATTGGTAGCCAAGTACTTTAATTATCTGCACGTTTTTTGTTTTTTTTTTACTGTCTTCAATTTATTTACATATGTTTTGTGACATGTCACCGATAATACACATGTAAATATTCTTTCGAGAAAGAATTTATTGCTACTTATTTTAATAACATCGCATTTTCTACTGAATTATTTTTCTAAATCTCATTCTCTACTAGTTTCATTTTTTTTTTTCCTAATTTCTAAATATCAAAAAATAATAATAATAATAATAGGAAAATATGGAAAGAATCCTAAAATATTATCAAAACAAGCTATTTAAAAGTTTTTTTTCTTTCAAAATTGTTTTTTAACTTTCAATCTACTAATGTAAAATATTCAAACTTAAATATTTTCATTTCTATGCACAGTTATGTGGAAAGTATGATGTAGTGATCAATTGCAGTGGAATAGGAGCTACTGGCCTCACACATGATCCAGAATTGAAACCAATAAGAGGACAGGTTATCAGGGTAAAATATGAAATCTTATAATCTTTTGATAGACCATAGTTCATTTAATTCTTTGTACTGTACACTAAAGCTGCAATAAGTGTAATAACAAAACAAGCTTCGTATATATATCTCTAGATAGAAATTCATTTCAGTTTCCTTTTATTGATCTCTCAAATTATTAATGCCTATATAAGCATTTGTAAATTTTATAAAATAAAAAAATTAGAAGTAAAAAAAAAATTATTTTTCTTTTAGGTCAAAGCTCCTTGGATTAAATACGCAGTAATGGATCCAGAGTTTTATATATTACCAAAGTAAGATTCATTTATTTAGATACTTATTCATCATTTTTTCATCATAATTCCAAAAGAACTGTTGCCGATGAAGAGGTCATTTTGACCTTTAACAGACTAATGCCACCATATAAACGGTATGCCGCTTTTACAATTTTTGTGTAGAAAAAAACACCTCAAGGTCTAAGGCCGCCTGCCATAGAAACAAGAAATAGCACATTAGCTCTCTCCCCTGATTCCCTTTCTCTCGACCTTTGTAAAACCTGTCTTAAATATTGTCCCAACTAACCTACTTGTAACCATAGTCACCGCCACTGCTCAAGACGAAAGGTGAGGGGAGTTCTTTCCATAGACAGACTATACTAAGTATGTCCAATGCAGCGTTTATTTCGGCAAAATTCCTTTTAGTGTTTTTTTCTCTCTTCTTGCTCTCATGTTTATAATTTATTTAATTATAATTAAATATATAATTGTAATTATTAATTTTTGCGACTGTCCCTTACCCATTATACTTCAATAATATGTTAAACATACTAACCCAAATAATAAAAACATATAGCATTTACTCATTTGCTGAAACAAATCTGGCATGAGAGTAAAAACACATTCATCGCAATTTATATAGTTATCTTTGTTATGATTTTATTAACTTTAAATTTAATAGAAATAGGGATTTCAATGTAATTCTCTATTTTTTTATTTTGTATTTATTCAACTGTCATATTATTTCAGTTAAAATAGTTTTCAGCATTAGATTTCCGAATTTGTATGTCCTTCTACTTAGCTGTCACCTCTCTTTGGCGAATATATTTCTCTGTCTTAAAGGCATTCACTTTGTCAAGGTTTCCGTGAATTAAAATTCTGCACAAAAGTAAAATATATTGTGCCTAAGGCAGTTATTTCTGCTTGATCATAAAGAGAGCGAAAGAAAGTATGGATTTCCAAAACTTCAATTATTTTTATGAATAGTGGTTAATATAATTTCGAATATTGTTATGTTGAACATAAATGTTACCTGACACTGAATACCAAGTAAAATTGGCCGAATTCGGGTACGCAGTACCGGGATTGGAGACTAAACACTGGGTCCGGGTACCCGATACCAGGTAGTAAAATCCTTTTGCCGGGTTCGGATAATAATGGAGTTATTAAAATCTGGCAGGGTACCGGGTAATAGTCAGGTACTCTAAAAACCCTAAAATAAAGTAGTGAAACATCATGGATAATTCTAGGTGTGGCTAGACAATAAGGAAAGTTCAAAGTGATATAAAACAGCAGAAATGTTCCATTTCAATCCTTTTAGAATAAAGTAATTGACATCATTTCTGATTTTCAATAATATCAAAATTCGTTGTTGCAAAAAGATATGATATACTCAAAGAGGCAATGATTTTATTTTATGATATAATTTATCGGAAGCGCAATTAATTTAGAATGAACACACTCATCAATTCTTACAATAAAATTAGTTTGTAAAACTACCATTTACTCATCAGATAGAACATTAAACTAAATTCATCTAGGCTTAATCGAACAGAAGCGGGTAGAATTTTAACACTGACGTTATAGAATATAATTGATAAAATTATGTAAATTATCTTATAAGAACATAATTGTTTTTCTTACACAACTGAAAACAAGCATTTCATTTGTAACAGTGAACATTTGTTTCTGTGTAAATGTTTAACTATATTATAGACAACAAACTTACATCTTCTTGTGTTCGATAACAATCTACCGTTGTCATCTGAACGTACGTACGTTTCTAAACGTACGTCAAAATTTGTGTTTTGGTTGTTGTTGTAGTTTTAAGTTAATTTAAATCACACTAGAGCTGCAAACATCCCTGAGGATGATCCGAAGACATGCCATTGCAATTTCGATCCTCTGCAGAAGGGATTGGTGCTTTGGAGGACAATGTAACTCATATATGGTATAAATTCGGGTGAGCTTGGTAGTATAAACATTTTCCATTTTTGGTGCTAATTGAAATGCACATGAACGCTCAATTCAGTGTTAACTTGGAATAAGTATTACTTGTTCACACAATCTTTACAGTTTTTCAGTATTAAATTAAGAAAGGCATTGCACTACATCTTTTACTGTATATTAAAAATGGAGAGAAAATCTTGGTCAATTATCTAGATGAACACACTAGTTATTTATTCATTTTCACTAGAAAATATTTATTTTATTACTATCTTGATAGTTCTGATAGTATCTTGTTTCTTCGAGTAGTAAACAAGGACGAAATTTTTTTCCTTGTTTACTTAAAAAGAAGAAGAAAAAAGCTACAATCTAATATTTTTACTTGAATGTAATTTTTATTTCATTTAGTGCAGAAGAAACCATTTGTGGAGGCACGAAGCAAGTGGGGGATTGGAACTTGGACATTGTTCCTAAGGATCGTGAAAGAATTCTATCAGGATGCACAGATCTATATCCTAGTTTAAAAGTGAGAGTTTAGAAACATATTTTTATCCATGAAATATATAAAAATGAATAAAATGTTTAGATCAAAACTGTTTATATCAGTGTATAACATAGAAATATACAATATTTTTATTGCACCCAAGTGACGTATATTTATCCGCTTCCAGGTGTAAGTGTAACTCATATCATTCCCGACTAATTACATCTCCGATATTTTCTGCTCCAGTATAATCGAAATCAAATGCAAATAGAGATTCTTTGGAGAATCGAGCTAATGGAACTAAGTTACATTAGCATTATGCGAAGAAGAAGACAACAAATCACTTACTTGGTTGGCCAAATGGCTAAGGGACCTGTGATGCGGAGTTGGCGTACGCCATGAAAAGTATACCCCCCCCCAAAAAAAAGGAATAATTGAAATTAATCCAATCTTCTGTAAGGAAATTTTAAAATCTAATATTATTCTATCAAAATGGCTGAGACAAATGAAAAGTTAAAATGTTTGTAGGCATTTATTTTAATGAAATTTAATTAAATGGCCATTGGTTTATTGTTCCACTTATGTAGGGTGTGAAAAGATATGTTCCTCCACTTCGTAACTGAGAAGACTATAATCATGGGCATGAAGTAATTTCTATAACAGGTTGGGCGTATTTCCGATTGTAGGGATTTTCCAAATAGTTCTTTTATAATTTTATTGAACAGAACTACGCAAAAGAAACACGTATAAGCATTAAGTTTGTAGCTAAATCAATTATTGATAACCATTATACTCAAATCGGGTTTTTACTGATTCCACGAGAAGCTGTTTGCCACGTCATATTCAATTCCAATCTGCTTGAATTTTCTTACGGTTAGGGAAGACGCATTTTGAGTTTCCTTTTTGTAGGGATTAAATCATATTCGTGGTTTGAGTTGCCATTTATGGTGTATAGGTGTAATAAAGAATTTCTTCGATTATAAACTAAGTTTGAAATAAGTATTTTCTTTATGAAAATGTTACGACAAAATGTCAATTTTATAAAGTTCTAGGGAATCAGCAATTAATGAAAAAGAAAAATCTGTGCACATAAATGTTAATACTAGAAATTATACATTACGCTATTGTTAAGTCATAAGTGTAACTTCATATTATGGAATATTGACTTAAAAAATAAGTTATTCCTAGTTTCGACATTATTTATTTAGTTTCTCTTTTCTTAAGGTTTTAACTACTGGTAAATAATCTTAAATTTTAATTTATTTTTCTTTACAGAAAGCGCAAGTTGTTAGAGAGTGGGTTGGATTAAGACCTGGTAGAAATGAACCCCGCATAGAAAGAGAAACAATTAAGACTGTAAAAGGAACAATCGAAGTAAGTACTAGTTATTTCTTAATCCCTAGTGCAATTTAATGCATACTTGTTAGTTAACTTTTATCTACGCTGAACTTAGAGCAGCTGAAATTTTTCTTAATTTTTAATTATTACATTTTTTTTCTAATTTATGCATTCAAGCTCAAAATCCATATAAATGAATCAGAATGTTTGCATCCATTTGTTATATATACATATACACCGAAGAGCCATTACATTATGACCACCCTCCAACCATAACAATGGGCTCGCCCAGGTTTTCATGGTTTCTCGCCCAGGAACAATGTTTTCATGGGGCACATTAGGACCCATAATCCTCATAGAACAATCCCTGACGTCTGTAAGCTACTTGAACATAGTTTCAGACCAGGTTCACCCATCCATGGCAACAGTTTTTCCTGCGGGGGATGGTGTAGGATAATGCACCATGACATAAGGGTCGAATCGTCTTGGATTGGTTCGAGGAAGATTCCAGTGACTTTCAAGTCATGTCTTGGCCTCAAATTCACTTGACCTTAATCCAATAGAGCATTTGTGGTCCTAATTGGAAAACCAAATTCGTGTTGCCACGCTACCCCCTCGCAATGTGAGGGAATTGCAGGACCAGTTGGTGAGCGCTTGGTACCAGATATCTCAGACTACCTATCAGCACCTTATGGAATCAATGCCACGGCGGGTGCAAGCAATTTTGAGCGCTAAAGGTGGTCCTACATGTCATTAGCAGGGTGGTCATAATGTAATGGCTCTTCGGTGTATACCTTATACAAATCGGCAGTTCTCAACCGATCCGCACCTATAAACGTTCGAAGACACGACGAACCTAATCGCTTACTTAAAAACCCCATCTGAACATCGGTTCACTTGCTACATCCCCCAAAAAAGAGTTTTCTTTAGGATTTGATAAATATTTTGTAATATTAGCCAGATTGCAAACCATAATCAATCAAAAATTAACTTTATCGCAAGTTCTTATGAATTTTTTATCTTCGGTTTGCTTTGCTAGGTTATCACAGGTAAAATCAACGCTAATAATTTTGCAACGTATGGTGAATACGTCCCCAAATTCGTATATGAAACCACGTGTCATACTGAAATATTCATAACATATTTCCTAACAGTTAAAAACCGAATTATTAATTTATTTAATCCGTTTCTCAGTAAATAAAAATCATTAATATAATCGATAATCTTTTTATACCACAAACTTGAATTCAGTACAGAATAAATCTATTTTAAGAGATTTCCTCTACATCTGCCTAACACATTTGCATAGAATTTGAAAACCGTTTTATGGCTGCTAATATTTTTGAATTCATTATTATTTCTCACGCTTTTTTTTCCGCCAACACATTTGAATGCGTAAGGCTAAGAAAAAGAGGCTTGGCATTGTATTTAATCAATTAATAGCCAATCCTTAGCTTTCCTTGGCGAAAACTGTGCTAACGTACACAAGCGAATTGCATTTTTGATTTTTTGGTGGACGGAGGGGCCCTGCTTGGCTTAGCCCTGCAGCAAGAGCTTCCAGGTCATTTTTTAAGTTTATTAATTTATACATACTCAAAAAGGAATTTTTCTTTTTACTTTGGAGCTCCATATGATTCCATATATTAGTAAAATAAAATGATTTTTATTATTCAAAATAAATAAGAAAATATGGATGACTAAAAATACACCAATCAACATCCTCTTCATCTTATGGCTAATACATCTACTTCAACAAACCAAATTATTTCTGGATGCCACGTATTTCTAATACGGATTCCTACACTTTTAAAGGATGTCTCTATATACTTAAGTAATGGAACTCCATCAACAATTATTGTAAATTCCGATTGTGAAGAATTGGAAATACATTTGAACCTCTGTACTTTCTAAATTCTCTGTTCATAAATACAAATTAACCATATGAGAAATGAGATCGAACGCACAAGACAAAATAGCTATCCAATTTTAGAATTTTTTTTCTTCATCCCATGCTAACCTTCCACATTTATGGAAGGTATCCAATGGTATATCTCTCATATGTAGACACAAGCTCTTCATTGGTTTCTGAAGTTACTTGCAGATGACTACACAAGTCATAGGTGGGAAAATTGCAAAATAGCTTCCCATTAACATTTAGAAATTGATGAAGTCGGTGGAAAGTATACTTCCCATAACCTTATAAAGGGTTAATAAGATAAATAAGTTCTTTTCCTCATATGACAACACTGCGAAATTATTTCCCCTTCTCATATTTTTTAACCAGGAATGATCTATGGTGGATTCGCTTCATACTGTAATTTTTCTCTAACCTACACAATAACAATATCACTTAAGATATGATAAACACGCAAAATAAATTATTTTCACTCTACAAAAAACTTACTTGTGGCTAGGACTGGGCTATAAATCGATGTATCGAGACATATCGATTTGACGCATATATCGGCAAGACGATACAGCGACTTTCATTCAAGGCGATGCATCAGAAATCTGATTTAAGCCGTCGAGTAAAGACAACGAGTACAAAACGATATAGCGATATAAGACACGCAAGGATATAAGATAACGATATAGGGATAAAAGACTCTTCTCTTACGTTCCGATGTCGACTCGCGCTGTGGAAGACGATGTTCGTTTCGTTATGTTGAAATGGCCTTGATTGGTGAGCTGTAGAATCAGAATCAGAGTTTTGAGAACACATATCGTTATATCGCATGT